ACTAGCAATTAAATAAAAACAAAATTAGATGTTTGTACGCAACTTTATCTGCTTTTTTTATTAATGACAATTATTTTTGCATATTTTTTTATCATACAATTAATTTGATTTCTTTTCAAAATAAACTTAATTTAAAAATTCGCTAAAAGAATGTGTCAATTTGCACATACATATATTTATGCACGTAAAACTAATCTAAGTAAATATTTACTAGGCACTTAGCATAAAAATATCAAATAGATAAATGTTAGACAAATTATAATTTAACTCCTTTATGAGTTATACTAAGTTAAGAGTGTAAACAGAGCATAATGTAAACTAAAGTCTCCGGCCAATGGCTACTACTAACTCTTGGCAGAGTTTTACTTAACTATTTGGAATTCATAGCTGCTCATGCTTTATTTAGCCTAAAAATACTAACTACTATTTAGTACACTACAAGAAACAAAATGCTATCAAATAAATGCTTACTTTTTAAGTTTGTTTTAGTTAGTTAGTCCTTTTGTAAATATCCTAATAACTACAAAATATTTATTGTATTACACTTAGTGGCTAATGTTTGATTGCACATTTCCGGCCAAAGACAACGGAAAAATATCACATTGTTCATCTAAAATCTAAAATCAAATATCAACTACTACATTTTTATTCTAAAAGTAGCTAGTTGCTAAATAAATTACTCATAAGTCTATTTGTGATTGCACCGTTATTTTGAATTGCACCTAAATTATTGCACACATACTGTTGCTATGTCTGATTGCACGCCTATTGCACAGTGTTTTCAAATTTACTCAACAAAAAAAAAAAACAACTAAAAAATAATCAAAATTACAAAAATCTTAAGCCTAGTATTTTTATATCTCTTTAACGAGCTCACTCAACTCTTTCGCACGTTTTTGTACAGCACCGAATGTGTTTCGATGCTCTCTGCACCCGATTCCCACATATCTTCCGCATTCGTTTCGCCATCGGTCTCTGAAGATCCATATGATGGGCTTTTTCCACGTCCCTGCTGTTCCTCCTCTTCGGACGAGTATACATTTGAGGCGTCTGCATCGCGCGTTGTGCCACGCCCACCACTTGATTGCGTCAGCGTTTTGTCTGAGTCAGCATCGCTTATTTCTGCCTCCAGTGGTTCGTTTCTTATTGCCGCTATCTCATTCTCCGGCGGTTCACCCATATGTTCGAAATCCTCAAAACGATTACTATCCAAAATATTGCCACGTCGCTCTGACGCCGCCATACCATTATGGCGATCGGTTAGTGTGCTGCCACCATCTGAGTTGTCTTCGATTGTATCTACGCGTATAATGCGTTCTCGACCGGATATCTTCTTGAAATTGTAGCGATCATAGAAGCTGCGCTTGTACACCTCACCGGAGTCGGCGCTCATATAACCGCTATCCATTTCCTGTGGGCGTGGCCCGAAGCGTTGTTCATAGTAATTTTGCGAGGCAGGTGCCGAATAGGTGCTCTTGGGCGTCGAGACGCGTGGATGCTCGTCGATGAGCGAGGATATGCCCTCGTCGCGGTCAAGCACCTCCAGAAAGCTGGGCGGTTTCTTGTCATACGGCGGCGCCGGACTGTGTGTGGGACTGAACTTGGACGCAGCCATGCTGACGAATTTCTTCCACGCATTCTTGAGATCCTTCGCTTTTTTGGCGCGATCCTTCAGGCCCATTGCTATTTGCATGCCATGTGTCAGCTGAACGGGTTCGATTTCGCAGTGGTAGACCGTTTGCACGGTATTGGTTGGTGTAGGTGCCGGTGGTGGCGTGGAGTTGGCACTGTTGTTGTTCGAAGCAGTGCTACGCTGTGGATATGCTATACCCACTGGGACCCCCGAATTCCGATACAACTCCTTCGTGCGATCGGAGAGTCGACTACTGCTACGATTCGAGCGCGAGCCGATTGAGTGAAGATCCAGCTTGCTGGTATCTATTTCACCATTTTTGGTGTTATTGAAGTTGTTGTTAGCCTCCAGCTGGGACTCGATGTCATTGCAGTTGTCCTGTTCATCTGCTGTAGTGTCGTTGGTCTTCCGACGATTCAAGTACTTGGTGAGGCTGTAGTCACTGCGTAAGCCATTGATTTGCGTATTGAACATCGGTCCGTAGTCGCTTTCAATGCGTTTGGACTTTACCTTGGACGGTGGTGAGTCTATTTGCTTGGCACTATGGAGTTTGTTACAACTTTTGTTTGTGTTCTCGTTGCCGTTGCAGACGCTGCTACGCCGGCAGTTTGAATGCTCCTGATCTTGTTCGTCGTCTGATTCTCTACGATATTTCTGCTCTTCATGTGCTACACTCGAGAGCGTGTTGTTGCATGAGCCGCCAAATTCGGAATTAGCTAGGTTATCGGATACGCCTGTGATTTCGGTGGATTCGCTGTGATTGCTTGTAGTTTCCTCTTCCGTGGCTGTTGTTGTGGCATTAGTGCTGGTGGTAGAATGATGTACATAGTGGTGATGATGGTGGTGGTGGTGATTGTGGTTCTGGTAGTGGTGACTGTGTTGCGATTGCTGCGTGGAGTCGTGACTCCGCTGACTTGTTAACGTGGTGGAGACGGAACTGGGCGGTGGTGGAGGCGGTTGTGGTGGAGGTGAACGACTGATACGCTTCTTCGGTGCCACACAAGAGGATGACGCTTTGCTGGTAGCTGTGCTCTTCATTGTGCTGTTGGGGGTAAGGGAGTGCGTTTGGCTCGGTGTGGGAGTGGGTGTGGCCGGAGCTTTTACGTTTTTTGTCAGTTCGTAGAATATTTTAGGCGAAACGGCACGGTTCTTGAGATGCTGTGGCTGTGACGGCGGCGAAGGCGACCGACGTCCGTTGTGTACTTGCGGGTTAACGACAGCGGCCTCCGCCGTGCGTCGTCCTTTCGGTGTACTGATTTTAATAGTTGTCTTATTAGGTACGGCATTTGAGATCTCTACAGAGGGTGGTGGTGGCACTGGTGATTCAACGATCTGCTGTCGTCGCTTTTGCTTAGCCTCAAGCGTTAGCAGGCGTCCATGATCGCTGCCATTTATATCCAGTTCTTGTGCGCTGGCGTACTGGCCACCACATTTACAACTCGATTGACTATTCTGCCTTACCAACGGCGATTGATAAATCTCACGTAAGCTGCTAAAACTAGGTCTACACTCTCCGTCTGTGTCACTTACTTGCTCGCCGCCACGCAACTCTACGCGACTCTCGTAAGCCGTTGAATGACCGCTGGCATGACTGCTCTGGCTGCGGAAAGAACTGTTCGAGCGCAACACAAATGGCGACGCGTTTAAATTCAGTTGTGAATTAGAACCTTTGTGTGGCTCGTGTGTCGCAATGGCCGGCAGCGGTGTGTGATTATTTAGCTGCTCACCATTTTGTACTTTCTTCAAAGGTTGCCCCGATGACCAGGCGTTTACGTCACAGAAGCTCTGCTTCTTCGGCTTGCGATCCAATGTGTCTGGCTCAAACTGATCGCTATCGGTGGAGCGTTCGATATCCGACTGTGGTTCGTGCTCTACTTCGATGGTCATGCTGCCCAGAAACGGTGTGTCGTATTTGATGCGTGCGGCTATCTCTTTCTGCTTGCTGCCATTGCTGTCGGTCTTGCTTAGCGTTTTCTTCTTTAAATCAGATTCCGGACGAAACCCAGTTGACTTGTCGAAGACAGTGTGGCTAATTTCCAGCTCCTCTTCGAGTGGCAGAGCAGTGCTCAGACTGGGGCTGAGCTGAGAACTTACATCTGAGGATGGCGATGAGGACGACTGCGAGCTTTTGCGCTTGGTTGCCTCCAGACGCTCGAGGCTGTCGGTTTCGTAGTCAACAATGAGGTATTGTGGCGATTTCCGTCTATAAATTGGAGAGTCAGGTTGAAATTGTTTGAGCGATTTGCGACTTAAGGTGCTATAATCGGGTGTGGGTACCGACGGCGCGCTACTCTGCGTATTGTTGTAGATGTCTTTAATTTTTTTCTCAATTGTGCTATCATAGTCTGGTGTTGGTATGTCCAAATGGAACCCGCTAGTGGCACTAAAAGCTGCATTGTACTCACGATTGAGTGCATCATACATTGTATCGGGTAGTTGTTTACCCCCGCGTTGCACATCGCGGCGCCGTGAATCCGCAGGGTTGTGCAAAGGTGGATTATACACATCCACAGTTTCGCTCCTTTTTCGCGCAGAAGAAGACTTTGAACGTTGCGAGGATGAGTTGCGGCTGCGCTGTGAGAGAGGTGGCGAGTCGTGGAGGATAAACTTGGGATTATTGTAGATCTCGTTGCCTGTCTCAGCGAAACCGTACAAATTGGCAGCAGCCGAAAGTGCAGAAAACGCCTTGCTATAGTCCCGATTAACAGGTATTGTGACTGATGGACCTGTAGTTATACTTGTGCAATATAGCTGATAAGAAACTGACGAAATGCTTGGCCTAGCTTCGTGGGCATGCGCAGAATTATCATGCGATGCACCAGAATCGCGCGCAGACCTTCCCTTGCCACTGTGGGAACTACCAGTGGGCGTAGGTGGTGGTGGAGGGCGCTGCTTGGGCGGAGTAACCTCCTTACGCAGCGGACTGCGTTGGTCGCTGCGATTACGTCCGCTATTGCAGTGCGGAGGTGAGGCTCTTTTCGGTGACGGCCGACTTCCGTTGCCGTTATGTTGATGTTGCCCCCTCGATTGCTGTTGTTGTTCGTTGGCGCTGCCGGAATTTTTTGTCTCATTGTGCCCGTTGCCACCACCTCTCTCTTCATTGCCAGTTACCGTCTGCAGCCATTTTTCAATGCTGTTACGCTTATCGCCACAATTCTTCACATGGCCACTGCAACGATTGTTCGCACAGCCTTGACACTCGGAAGGCGACTGCTGCTGTTGCGAGCTGTACATTGAGGGCGTATCCGAGCGCAGCGTACCTTCCTCGGGTATCATAATGAGCGAGGGTTGATAGCGTTTGGTGGCCATTTTGTATTTTGCGATGGCAATGACCTCGCGTATTTTGTGCAAAAATTCAAGGGCGGCTGGTGGCGGTTGCTGTGAGAAAGAAAAATTTGTAAAAAAAGTAATTAGCGAATATCGAGCCATTACTCATCTATGTAATACTCACCGCCAGCAAATGCGGCTCGAAGTAGGCGGGGTTGAAGTAGAGTTTCTTGCGCACATTACCATTAACCATCTGCCTCAAATGCTCCAACTTCTCTTCGGTCATCATATCCTCCACTATCGAAACATTCTCCACCGGCAGGCATTCCGTCTCCTGCGTGGACGACGACGACGATGATATTTCGTTCGTTTGTTCAGCAGTCAATTGCCCGTTCGCGCTCTTCGGCGAACTGTTCGGTGAGCTGTGCGTCTTGCCCATACCCATTCCCATGCTCTGCAACTGCGGATGCACCAGCGCCGATGTTTGCATCTGCAAAAACACGCAAACGCTTCAATATCATCATGCATTCGGGCACAATAACAACAAAAATGCACAATGCTTGTAAAATACCTGCTTGAGCTTTTCATGGAAGCTGTCATCCATTTCACACTCTGAATTCGAATTGGAAATATCGCTAGCAAAGCCCGAGTTATGCTCACCCAATTGCGGGAAATGTTGTAAGAGCGGATTGTTCTTGATGATGCCCATCTCTTCCTTCAGACTGCCGATGCTGGCACGCGAACGTGGCTCATTCGAGGTGCCCATGCTGGTGACTGAGTAGATGCTGCCGCTGCGATTAAATGGCGCACCGAAAGTCACTTGGTCGTTCTTGGGGTAATTAATTTCATTGGCCCTGTCGTCGAGTGAGTTGCGCATGTGCGGTGATTGATCGCGACTTTTGCGTTTCTTCATGTGCAGGTACAGGAATACCGAGGCGACATAAATCAGGCCAAGCAACAGGCTGCAAACGCCAATGACCATATACTCCTTCGTCGACATGCCGTCCGAAGTGGAGGCTAGCGTGGAAGTTGCCTCCGATTGGAAGAGCACCTCCGAGACATCTGTGTGTATAGGACCAAAAGAGAAATGTTCGGTTATTTGATATCGGCATTAAGTGCAACAAGGTACAGGTAGACTCGTAAAATTGAAGTGAAATAAAGTTTTTGTATGCAATTCTTCGAAGTACTTACTATTAGTGTATTTCACTGGCGTACCATTAACACGAAATGCAACACAAGGCGAGAAGACATTCTTCGGCGGCATTATATGTTCTGAGAGCGAAAGAAAAACGTGTTTTTTTTATACATACGTACATAACTGAAGAATTATTGCTGAAATTTGAGTCCTTACCTTTCATGGTGGCGTTCAGCGAAATTGTCATGTCGCGGCAGACTAAATGTACGACAATGAGGCGGCCTTGCATTTTGTGGCGCATATCTGGTTCACCGAGCCACTAAAAAATGAGCAAAGTGGAAGATAAGTAAACTTTTTCTTTAACAACAGTTTATATTTGAGCTTTCTGAATTAATCCGTGTAAGTTCATAAGCAGTAATTACAGAATCTTGGCCAACATGGCTTAAGAGATTAATCAGAAAGATGAAGTCATTGAAAAAATAAACCCACAGTTGACATATGTACAAAAAAAGTGCGGAAAGCGTGGACTGAATACCCTGGAACTAGGTATAATTGTAAGAACACTGACCAAAGAGTAAAAGTATATTTTTTTTTAAGTGAAACTCCTTTGCGCTCGATTGGACGTACATATGTATGTAAATGCAAACGATGTAACGAAAAGGCGGTAGAAGAAGATACGCGATGACGGGTTGGGCACTATTAAGATTAAGGCTGGGATTAAGATTGAGACTAATATTGAGACTAAGATTATGATTAAGATTAAGGTTAAGACTGAGATCAAAATTAAGATTAAAATAAAGACTGAGATTAAGATTAAGATTAAGAAACAGATTATGATTAAGATTAAGATTAACATTAAGATTAAGATTAAATTAAGATTAAGATAGAGATTGACATAAGGATTGAGATTGAGATTAAGTTTAAGATTAAGATTAAGATTTAGATTATGATTTGTATTAAGATAAATATTAATGTTAAGGTTAAAATGAAGATAAAAAGTCAGATTTAGATTAAGCTGAATGTTAAGAATAAGAATAAGATTAAGATTAAACTGAAGATTAAGATTAAGACAATGATTAACATTAAGAGAAAGGTTAAGATTATGAGTGAGATTAGGATTAAAAAATTTGGTTATTATTATGCAGAAAAGTACTCATATAATATGGGGAGCTATTATACTCTTGATTTTATGGAAGAAGAAGTTTCCCTTCAGTCGCACGTGGGAACGATACACACCAAGTTTTTTTTGCGTAAGATATCGAACTTAGGGGCTGGGAGTGAATTTATCAAAGAAAGTCTGTATTTTTTATGAAATACAACAAAAAGCATGCTCAGTGGCAAACATGTGTACTCTTTAGCATACGAAAAAAAAATGTCTTTATTTTTAATGAGACCCATCTATCTTTATGTACATATTTTGATGCGCTGAATGTAAATATACACCCGGTTTTAGCCTAACGCCTTCAAACTTTAGAGCAATTTGAAAAAATCAAAAAAACCCTAAAAAATTGCTATTGTTCAAATTTACTCTGAAATATTGGCCAACAATGGTTGGACACTCCTACAAGAGCTGGGCGCTCTTCAAGAATATGTTGAACTGCTTTCTTCGAAGCCGTGTCTTTTCAGCTGCAGGTGTGTGAATATAGCCGCGAATTGTTAGGAATTTTCACTACTAATTTTTAACACTACGCTAGTTTTAAGTGAGGCGTAGGTAATCAAAATCTACGTGGTAATCCTATATAATTCTGTACAGATCCATCTCTTTTTAGCTTTTGAATGTCAAATTTTGGTTTTACTGATTTTGATTTCCCTAAGTGAGGCGCCCATATCCAACTCATAGCCCAAACATTGTGTGCAGAGTTGCACTTCGCTAGTTCATACGCTGTCTCCATCTCGAATATGTTAATTTGCCTTGGGACCAATATTAGTATAATTTCGAATTGATAAGAAATTCAGGTCAACTTTCTTTTAGTGTTCTTCGCAAGCTGCAAGCTAAGTGAAGAGTAATTGCTGCCTGGTGCTCTGAAAAATATTCACCTGCGTTCTTGCGAACCTTCCTGACTGCATAATTGTAGATATTTCCGCGTGAAAATGCTTGCTTAGCTCAATAGGCGGAAGAGTAGCTTCAAATTCAGTAGCTGGATGAAAATACCTGCACTATTTCCGCATTTCGTATTTCATCCATCTCTAAAGACAGCTATGCTTACCAAGCAGTAGGCCCCCGCTTCGAATCCAGCCAATGCGGCTTTGTATTTTGTGCGAGGTTTGTGGTTGGCCTAGGCCTTGGTATCATATACTAAGATATAAGTCTATTTAAGATGGCACTGAATCGGATTGTCCTTTCAATCTAGCAAATCTGATTTCCTAATAGCAGCTGAATTTTCTTTGTATATAGTAAGCCGAGCAAAGTTTACAACCTCCCTGAGGCTTTTATATCGCTCGCCAACTCTTCCATGGAAGAGACGAAGGGCTTTTGAAAAGTTATTTAATAAGCAAGCGCAAGAAATAAGTATATCGTAAAAAAATAGCAAGACTTGCCAAAAAATGAATTATTGCATACTTGTTGGGGATATTTTCTCACTCTAGACCTAATGAAGAATTGAACGTGGCGATACACATTAGACCTTACCAAAAAATAATAAATAAATTTCGCCGTACCGCCTGAATCTAAAGTATTTTTGCAAGGCTATTAATTTTTTTTGTTTGCTGAATGCCTTTATACATTATATACAAATAATATAAACGCTGCATTTAACAGGCGCAAACTCACTTCTTCAAATTTACGAGGTTTGGAGTTTAATGAGTAGAAATGAGTCATAAATTCAGTAACATGTTAATTTCTTATTTGTAAACTGTAAAAAATACAAATCCATTTTTATAATAGCGAAATTTACTACATACATACACCTATGTGCATATGTATTAACAAATGCCCACTTAATTTCTGCTTCATCGAAATTGCTTGCGTTCGATAATGCTGCGTTCATAAACGCACTTATTACCTGCTAAATGCGCATAAATTGTACCTATTTTCTTTATGTTGTTGTTGTTGCTATAATTTCAAAAAAACATTTTCATTTTCATGCAACATCCCATGGTGACTAAACATGTGGGTTGCAACGTTCAGCGCCAGTGCAAGTTGTGCGAAAAGGCAAATTAAACAGCAAGCGCCACAAATTTAGCACTCTAATAAGCACATAAAAACGCTTGTTTTATGTGTCACAGTTTTTACAATGCAAGCGATAATTGTCTCATAAAATTTTATGTTTCTTTGAAGATGTCGCTAAAGCAAAAGTTCGTTGCTGATGTAGTCTTTTGATTCCATGCACCCAGAGCTTTCGACTTACCTGCAAGAAAGTACGCCCCTCATCGCGAAACATGCGAAATGGATAGTCTGTGTCGATTGGATTCCGTAGATCTGACCAACCGTTTACGGTCAGATATTGAGCACCAGTGACTGCGCATACGGGCGTACGAATATCTGCAAAAAAAGATAGTTTCATCTGTAATTGGTATCAATTAATTTTAATAAATGAGAAATCAAGCGTAATGAATTTGATTCGTGCGGACTGCAGGTCTGCGCAGCCAAGGTAAGTAACGAAATATTTACATACATCACTGAGGCGATTTCAAAATTCTACAACCAGTCTAGGTAACCAAACAGTAGATCGTTTAATGAATGTATTATTTTTCTTACTATTGTGTGTGGATCTGTACCCTATATCTGAAGTCTTCTAACGTAGGTCACCACTTTGGACCTTTTGTTCTATATTTCGAATAGATTGAGTGTATCACCGCCTAGACAAGCGAGTATGCGTTTAGCGAGAACAACCCATTCAAAAAGAATATGTTCTGGTCTTTCTTCATCCAGCTCACAGCCCGTGGGTGAAAGATTAATTTCACCAAGGTGATAAGGTGGGTAGCGTTGTACCGTGAAGTATGTATGTACCCAGTGAGAGTTCGAAGGTCCCTTGTCCTAGCAATACTGTGTTCTTGGTTTAAGAAGCATTTAGGATAGGTTACTGAAACAGTAGAATGCTAGTTTTAATGTTATCAAGTGGAACTAGCAAGGCAACCTTAACGTAGTTGTTTTTAGAAGCTGTGCCTGTTCTGAGATATTCTCTGCCACAAATTTCTATTGCAAGAAACTCCGATTGGGAAATGGATAGCCGTTCTATGGTATTGAATTTTTTAAAATTCTGTCCAAATATATCAGCTGCAATTTTTCCATCTGTGTACTAAATCTCATCATGTGGTTTGGTGTAAGTTTTGCAATATAAGTGGCAATATGAGGTAATTTATGAATTTCATTAGGATTTTCATATTACCCATATTTCGGGGTTCTAAGTTATAGGTATTTAGCAGGGACCGAACATAACAGTTATTGATCAAAGCTGTCATTGAAAAATTTACTATGAAGGAAATGTTCTACAACTATGTGATAAATACCAATCCATTTATTTTTTCATCGGGAATCAAACTTGCAATTAAATTTTTATTTGTAATTTTTATGCCAAATTAAAAAAAAAATAATAAAAATTTTCCACTTCACAATTTTTGATTTTTATATAAATAATCTGTAGATAACAGTTATTTTTGAGTTTTATATTATATGTCTTATATAACAGTTATTTATAAAAGTCACCAATAAATATCAATCACCGTCTTTTATTTTTTAAATCATACGAATAAAAGTCATTTTAATTTTTCGCAGTTAAAAAGGTGTTGGAGAACCGCAATTTACACCGACTTATACAAATGACTTTTATAAGTATGATTTTAAAAATAAAAGTCAGTGACTGATTTATATTGATGACTTTTATGAATAAAAGTCTTCAGTAACTGTTATCTAAGATATCTTATTTAAAAATCAAAAATAACTGCTATTTTCAGCTTAGTTGGCTAGAAATCAAAAATAATTGTATTTGTCAATGTTATTGTGGCTTACAAACATTTATTTTTTATTGAGCTTTGTACCACAATTGTTGATTAGGAAAAAACGAAAAAGCAACAAAGTCTAAGCGGTAGTTATAGCAGCTATTTCGGAGATCACCACATCTCCTCATCAGACTTCTTTTTTCTAGACTTCAGCAGTGATCGAACCTGCGTAATCGATGTTCAAAGTCAGAAGCGTTAACCACTGAGCTATGTACATCCCGTAAACTCTTGTTGCTAATTCACTTTCCTTATTCAACCAACCACTATCATGTGCAGCTGATTTGCCGCTATTTAAACTCGACAGCGTGGTTGTTGTTGTCAATTCTATACATCCATTTGCTTATTTGCTTTTTTTTTGTATAGTTTCAGTTTTTCTTATCTTATCTTCCCCACAAGTGTATTTTTGTATATCAAAGTAAACACTCCCGTTTTTACTTTCTTTAAATAGCTACCATATTTTTGTTTGCTTTTATATGCAAATATTTATGCAAATGAAATGGTAAGTAAAATTAAATTATATCTCATTAATGAAAGTGCAAGTAAGCTAGATGACAAATGAGTTTTCCCAAAAGTGGGAGAAACATGAACACACATAGGCGAATTCATATGTAGGTAAGTACATATGTACATGTATAAATGCGAGCATATAAATAAAATATGTATGAATGGAGATTCGTTATCTTAGCATCTTGGTTTGTGTTTTGCTTTAAGTGTTGTACAAGTTAATAAGTAGTGGCGCGTGTGTTGACTCATTGTATATATATATGTATGTATGCTCCTGAAGTTACTTGCAACATCAACTGGTGGTTTTTTTTCATGTATCCATGTGAATTTTCCTTAGTGTTCGTGCATATGTATGTTTGTATGTTTGGCTGTGTGTCTATTTACATTTATCATTCGACTTACCTGGAAAACTGATTTCTCTGCTGGGGTAAATGATTTGGCCGCGTAATGGCAGAAATACAAACGGGATTTTCTCGGATGATGAACCGCTTACAAATGGCGAAAGAGTGCATTCTAAAAATGGAAATAAAAAAAAACAGAAATAAATATTCGTATTTATGAACATAAAATATATAGATGGTAGTAATTTGTTGATTTCAGGATGAGATGAAAATATAACGATTCAAAGTAGTTTTATTATTTATTATTATAAGATATAATAACTAGAGGTGAGAAAATCTTAACTTCAGGCAAGATTATCCTCGATTTGATGTGTATACTCCAAAACATCATTATATATATATATAGTTGATTGTATTTACCAGATTATCTTGTTTAAATAAGAAGCAAATCTAATTTATTAATTTTTACTCAAAAAAAAAGCAAATTTCATAAGAGCTCTTGTTAAAATCGACTAGCCGGTTATTTGCGTGGTCTACCAGCAACTTTTTTTTGACGGTTGATGGTCGATTAGCAAGTATTCAATTATCGGCTCGAATTCCACTAACCGTTGACTTTCGACTAACAGCCTGAAAATCGACTAAATCAAACTACTTGAATAGTGACTGTTGCTTGCAATATAATTATTGTTATTAGCTGAGTAGGGGTTGGTGAAAGAATTTATATTCAAAAAATATAAAAGCCAGTAATCAAAAAAAAAAAAAAAAAAAAAGGACTAGCTTCTATTAATGCTTGAAAAAAAAAAAAAAAAAATCGACACCCGTACCACCTAATGACTAAATTTTTTGTAGAATTATTTTTTTCTATTTAAGTAACATACATTCTTGACGTTTCGTATCATACCATAAAACGGATTTTACAAATATCTCGACTCCTGCGCCACCTATTGAGACAAATTTTTGGAGTTATTCCTTTTCATGTAAGTAATATACATTCCAAATATGAACGAAATCGGCTAATAAAACGGGGTTTTAAATATCTCGACCCATGCACCAGCCAGCGGCTTCAATCATTCTTCATATTTCCATCATCATCGGGTTCTGAGCTGAGTTTGCAGTTTAAGGTTTCCAGCTCATTGGAAAGAGGGTTAAAAATTGATTGCAAGATTTGATTACAATAAGGTGAACGTAAGTAAAAGCTTTTAAATACCAATGTTTATTGAAGGAGAAAGTAGAAAAATCGAAACCAACCGTTAAACAGTCGACTAGTTAATTGAAAAAGTCGAACAATTCGAAATATTTATAGGTTCTTGTATTTTGTAATAAGTTTTGCTTTTTGAATAATAATAATAAACGCTTACTTATATATTAGTGTTTAGCCGAGCTTCCCCTTCGATTTGTGCCTGCGCCTTGATGTTGCCGAATCCGAACGGCGATAGTATTTTAATGAGAAGCTGTTTTCATGGCAGAAATACACTCGGAGGTTTGCCATTGCCTGCCGAGGGGCGAACGCTGTTAAAAAAACACACACTTTTTTTCTATATTTTTTCGCGATGTTGCTTTAACCAGGGCTTGGACCCTAAGAGGAGAGAAGCGGAACGGCTTTCGTCCATTTTGCTTTCATATTTTAATTCACGGCACTGAATATTAGTTTGAATACTCACTTTATGTTAAAATGATTCGTTTTATATTCATTTTTCTCTCTCTTTGGTGTTTATTGTTATTTTTGTTTACAACAGTGTTGCTGTTTATACTTTGTTACGCGCCCATAACTAGTAGTTACTTATGATATTTTAGTTTTCTATTTGCTTTTGATGCTGCCACCGAGCAGCAGTGAAAGTTGCAAAGTCTGCCGTTTCGCCAGTCAGCCTATTAGGTGGAGGCACTAGCAAAGCGACTTATTAATACTTGATAATTTTCACTTACATATGTACATACATTGTAAACACATATGTTGTTGCAGTCGATACATATTTGTATGACGACTCAACTTGGTGAATTTGTATAAAGCGCGAAGCTTCCATAAACATATTTAAATCGTAAACGAAGAAAAACTTGACTATGTTAACTACTTATTTATTAAATATGGCTATGCGATAAAACTTGTGGTATCTACATACATATGTATAAGAGGGCGTTCGCGCTATGAGCCAGAACAATGCGGTATGACGCGAATTTCGATCGTTCGGACAAGAGCTGGGTAAACATGGTTTCAAATTTACCCAGAGAGGTCATAACGCTCAAAATTTTTTTCAGGAATTAATTACATAAAAATTTTGTGACTGTTTTCTTTAACTATTTCATATTCGGCAAAATACCGTGAGTAGCTAAGCGCGCAAATATGACGCCCGCTCAGTCCATTCACTTTTAAAAATTGTCTCACCATTTTCATGAAGCCAATTCGTGAAATAATTAAAAATAAGTGAAATTGTTTTCATTTTTACATACATTTAGCATTTTTCTGTTTTTATTTCCCCGCCTTTCAGTATTTCTTACTGCAAACATTTCAAGTTTTTTTTTCGCTTCCAAACAACACAAATTACTACGGAGCATAGTGTTTGCTAAAAGCTTTTTATAAGCTCATTACCCGTGTATTATTGTTTGGCACAAAGATGAATATGTTGCAGTTGTTTTTGTAGTTACCGCATGCTTTTCACACTGGAAATATTTGTTTGTATTACCAATATGATTGTTTTCCATCTGCCGAAGCTACGCGCATTGGTGGCGGTGGCCCACAATGAACGGCAACTATGAAATTTATGGCATCTTTGTGGCGAATTATGACAACGAGACGGCGGTTTGCTTTGCTTTTCCTGCCGCTACGCTATTTTTCATAATAATCAGCTGCGCAAAAGAAATGCAAGAAATAGCGTATTGATAGGAAAAATGTGTGCAAGAAGAGGCAAACAATAAAAGTTCGCAAAAAATAAGCAGCAGAAACTTAGTAGACACAGAGTGCTGTGGCTAACACAGAAAGAAGTGCTTATTTGTCAGCATATCACAACAGTAGCAGCAGCAGCACCAGACGCCATAACAACAACAACAACAGCGGAGACAGAAACAATGACACCGCAAATTTCTTCCACGCCGCAAATTGAAAATGCATATCAAGTGGTGATTATATACGTGCCTGCTGCCACACGTTGTTATTAATATTGTTGTTGCCTTTATTGTTGGTTTGTTATTTAAGTTGTTGTTGTTGCCTGCTGGGAAGATGAGATAATAATATGACAGATGCGGTGATTGGCTTGGCGAACTGTGTCGGAGTTGTATGCCTACCGCGATTTCGTTGCTTCCAAGAGCTGAGAGCTGTCATAAAGTTGGCAGCAATTTAAATTGTAGCAACACCAACAAAATACAGTATCACCGCTACTGCTTCCGCATGTGTGTTGTCAGTCATTTTTGCCAAGCGCCAATCCACAATTTTTCGCATGCAATACAGTGCACAGCACACAGATCGGCAGCGAAAGTGCTTTAAGCTCGCAGGCAAAGCAAAAGACTTTAGATGCGAACTTGTTGTGAAATGGTGACATTTTCAAATTTGCATACTAAACAATTTTATTTTATGCCACCGTAAAAGTGGATGATGGCACCGAAGAGTGGACTACGTACCTATTTACTATGGGTTACATGCGAGAAATTGAAAATTATGTAATTTTTTTTTTTAAATGACGTAAGAAATCGTAAATTTATTTTGCAAAATTTGTGTACAGACATTTAAATTTCTGCATAACTTTAGCTTTATTAGGTTTATGCTATATTTATAACTAGTATGTAGGTTAAATATGAATATGAGTAGTACATAAGTGAAAATTCTTTTCCTATTGTATATGAAAACAGTGTTTCTAGCTCCTTGCAGCATGACAATTATGGACCATTTGAGGAAGACTAGTAGTAAAAGTCGAGTATAAATTCTGACCGATTTATGTACTTTAAATAAACTTTTGTTCATTTAATAACTGACCATAAATATTTATCCAAAAAACACTCGTCATAAATTTTGGGCATTTCAAAAATGGACATAAATTTATGGCGCCTTTTTAAGCTGGACATATATTTTTTAGCCATTTGGAAACTGGACATACATTTTTGCCCACTCAAATTCTGAACCTATATTTATGACAAAATTTTTTTTAAAAACTAGGTATTAATTTTTGCCAAAAAAAGAATGGAATATAGATTTTTGTCTATTGGGAAACTGGACTTAAAATTATGGTAATGTAAATACTGGAAATAATATTTTGGTTTCTAAAAAACTGGACACTTAAAAATGATGTTGAAAGAGTGGATTAAAAAAAATGTATTGTGAAAATGTTCAATGTTATTTGCCAAATCAGACTTCTCCGATACTGGGATCTTTTCCAAAAACCTGCTCCTTTCTTTTCCTATTAATTATACTGGCCAACAAAATTGCACTTTTGGCCTGATGAATGACTTATGCCAGATGATGTTTACCAAGTTGGCGTCGCTGATTCCAAATATACCCTCATTTGTTTTCTAGCAACTCTTGTTCACGAGTTATAGTATATTTATCGAGGTATAGTATATATAGTCACATGATGGCTGACTATTGTTGGAGCATTGGGAATAGCTCTCTGGTTTCAACTTTTGCAAGGAAGTCTTATAAAAGAAAGTTTTTTTTTTTAATTTAAGAACTTAATAAAATTAGATTAAATACACTGTCGGGAAAAAGTATTAGCACAGAGAATTTTTTACAATATATAAAATAGTATAGTTTTTATTTAAAAAATGTTCAGCAATTTTTTTTTATAAAAATATGGTTCATACTACAACAAAAAAACATAAAAATATAATTACTAAACTTTGGGTACAACTCTGGAATATTCAATAAATTTTAAACTTTTTAATCAAATTTTTGAATCTTTTTGCAATTTTGTAGCTCAATAATTTTTGTTACAACAAAGTGCACGGTTTGAAGTAGATAGGACTTACTGTTGATTTTTGGCAATATTTTTCACGCAGTTTCTTCCATACAAAAAGAATATTTCGAAAATGCTTTGTATGGGAAAAATGCGAAACACCACGTGTCATATTTCCTAGTCATTAAAAAATAAATAGGCTAGGTGTCATGTAACATAACAGATATGCTGTTGTGCAGTGTTATTTAATGTCTTTTTATTAGGTAGTTTGCACTCTTAATTCGGCTGTTTGCTGTGTTTATAAGTCATGTATGCTGATGCTGCATTTTTATCGCACCATAAATATCTGATTTATTGCGGATTTATCAAGTGGTAAGCCAGATTGCTAAGTCCATGTCAGCTACGGATTTTCAATTAATAACGCATTGATCAAACTCATTAGCGACATACAGTGTCGCGGTATTGAAATCAGTTTACGAACAATTAAATTTATATCCGTTAGCAATGCGCATAATTGCGAGCATTAGCTCCTATTCACCACCAAAGAGGAAAAATGCAAACACTACAATGCAATTAACTAACGAACCAATCTTTGTTTATCAACCATAAATGCAATTTTTAATTAGTTAAACAATTTTACGCCCAATATATGAAATCAAATTCGTAGTAGCGGTAAATGGCATGCAACACACGTACTAAGTTACTGCTGCTACCAGTTTGTTGCAATAGCAGTGCTACGAAAAAATTACCATCTCCAATTGGCCAGTATAACCATTTAGAATGTTGCTCGTATGCTGAAACTGGCAAAAAATAATTACACTTACATACATGGCTATATGTATATACAATGTATATAAATGCATGCACAACGCTCGTGCGCATGTGCGCAAACAAATGTTTGCTGAATTAATGGGGACCGTTGCTAGCATGTGGTGGTCGGATGTAAGTAATGTCTGCGGCAGACGTGATCCGCTAGACGTGTTTTAGCCGAACGGTAGCATTGGCTAACGTTTCATTAATTAAAAATCGCCTAAATGTCGTGAACGAGCATAGAATTATGGCAATTGCAAGATATTATTGCAAAACGGTACAAAAAAAAAAGAAAGGCAATCATCACCAGCGGTAGTAAGTATGTATGTATTTAGTAGTAGTAGCAAGCGCAGCATTTGTGTGGCATATAAATTGCGGGTAACTGCACCACATATTTATCTGCGGATTTGTGTACGTGCAAATGTGAGTTTGAGATTAAAAGCCAATATCCTCTTAATTTAATTTGCGCTTTATCTCCAATGTGCATGTATGCGTTTAGTGAATCCGTGAACACTTATGAAGGATACGAGCCGAAATTATGCGTACATACTTATTTACATTTCATTTCATTACTTTTAATTTACTTAAAATTTAACTGAGTCATCTTGTTGAGCTTTTACAATTCGCATCAAAGTGCGATTCTACAGAAGAGGGGCGCGGTGTTCAAAGATAATTTAGGGACGCACTGATGACCACCACAACTGTCCCAATTTTTGCAAAGAATAGAGCCATCTAAGAACCTGTTTTCGCGTTAGCTCGCATAAGCGGTGGACTACTGGATATGCAGCCCCTGTTGCTTACGGCGCTTCCTCTGCCGGCCTCAAACTCGCCTAACATGCCGCACAGTGCGGCCGAAATCCAAAAGTGGGACCAAAATTCGAAACTTTGAAGAAATTTTGAGAAATTTCGTACTAAGCGGCTTTCGGGATCATTAATTACGAATTCGCTGTTAGAATTGCAAAATTCAAAATGGCGGATACAGTATGGCGTCTGGTGAATTTTGAGCTTTTTAATTAGATTTCTTAGAAAGTTTTTGAGTATGAAGTTTTATAGCACACTTAATTCTAGTTCACAAAGTGCAAGTTTGAAGTAGCTAGGACTTATCGTTGATTTTTGGCAAGTTTTAGGGTGGAAGGTGCCAGTAATTTTGGGCTTTAGGGTTAGCAAACATTTAGATGATGGCTTCGAAATGTATAGTATGAATAATGTATAATTCTTACGCCAATCTTCGGAGGCTAGTTAGTCTGTCTTGATCCATTGTAAAACGTAAAAGATTATTAAAGCGGGCATTAGCCCACATCGTAAGCTGCACGCTTTTGCAAGGTTTCTTTCATAATCTTAATTCAAGTTCCTCGAAAGCATTAAATCGTCTCATCGTCTCTAATGGAACGTAGAGGACCTCTTGCTTATCTGGGTCTTTGAATTTGTGTGTATTAATTCTGGAAGCAACTCACCATGATTATGTTTTCTGGTTTTGCGCCATTTTTCTTGGAACTTATCTAAGGAACTAATATTTTCAGCTATCATTTTGCATCGCTGCAAAATCAATACCACTAATTTCAATCAAAATCTTTAACCGTAGTATCGCTGGTTTGTAAAAATGCTACTCCGATACTTAATTTGGGTCAGAGTTTTGATGTTGCTTAGAGCAGGGATTGAACCCAGGCCCTGCGGAGCGGCAGCGCGCATTGCCTACCACTACACCATAGCGGCCAAATAGAAGGCAATAAAACACATTCCATGTAGGTATTAATAACCTTCCCATATGATCTTGTTTTGGCTGACAGATTTAATAGCTGCAGCGCAGGATAGCTGCACAATCGACTCCAGCTAAGAGTTTTCTTTCGTAATATTTATTTCCATCTGTAAATGTGACTGTTTCGATACATATGTATGGCGTCTTCCTAGCTTTTTAATTACATTTTTTAGAAAGATTTTATCTTTCGACGGTTAAGGTCAAACTTAAAGTGCTCAGTGCGCTTCTTACTTTCTCCACCGATGATCTTCTGGCGAACAACTGGAAGGCGCAAAATCTTGAGGATTTTTTCTAGAAAGTCAGCTGTTATGATTTTTTTTTATACAACGTGAACATAAATACCAAAGCAAAATTAATATATATTTGCATAAATGCATAACATAACATTAACATACCTATGACAAATACTTAATTTGTGGTTTTGAAAATAAAAAAAGCTCATTGCCTTTTCACCGCAGCGGCATTTAGCAAAGTCAGCAAATGCCAATGCTCGAGTGCAGCGCACCATAGAAAAGAGAGCAAGCTAGCTAGCTCATGTAGCCACAATCGCCAATAAAGTCGTACAACAACAACAGCACAAAAGTGCAATGAATAACACATTAGTTACTTAGTTGCTTGTCTGCGCTCAATTTGGAGGTGTTCAAGTTTTTATTTGGCATTGGCTACATTGTAAGTTATGTACATTAGTAAATTATATGGCAGCAAATTAAGTAAACAATAACAGAGATATGTACTATTACTCGCAGTATAAACAATGAAAAGCAACAGCAATAACAAGTAAAAAAAAAATATATATGCTTAACAACAATGATTAAAGAGTCAACAACAGCACGTGCAAGATTTTCTGCAGAATTGCGCAGACTTTCTTTA